ACATCGAGTTACATCTCCCCTCTATGTACTGTGGGTACATCGAGTCACACCTCCCCTCTATGTACTGGGGCTACATTGAGTCACATCTCCCCTCAATATACTGTGGCTACATCGAGTCACAACTCCCCTCTATGTACTGCGGCTACATCGAGTCACATCGCCCCTCTATGTACTGTGGCTACAGCGAGTCACACCTCCCCTCTATGTACTGGGGCTACATTGAGTCACATCTCCCCACTATATCCTGTGGCTACATCGAGTCACATCTCCCCTCTATGTACTGTGGCTACATCGAATCACATCTTCCCTCTATGTACTGTGGCTACATCGAGTCACATCTCCCCTCTATGTACTGTGGCTACATCGAGTCACATCTCCCCTCTGTGTACTTTGGTTACAGTGAGTCACATCTCCCCTCTTTGTTCTGTGGCAACATTAGATTATCTCTCCACGTTATGTAATGTGGCTACATCGAGTCACCTCTCCCTTCTATGTACTGTGGCTACATCGAGTCACACCTCCCCTCTATGTACTGTGGCTACATTGAGTCACATCTCCCCTCTATATACTGTGGCTACATCGAGTCACATCTCCCCTCTGTGTACTGTGGCTACATCGAGTCATATTTCCCCTCTATGTACTGAAGCTACATCGAGTCACATTTCCCCTCTATATACTGTGGCTACATCGAGTGACATTTCCCCTCTATGTACTGTGGCTACATCGAGTCACATTTCCCCTCTATGTACTGTGGCTACATCGAGTCACATCTCCCCTCTTTGTTCTGTGGCTACATCAAGTTACCTCTCCCCTCTATGTACTGTGGCTACATCGAGTGACATTTCCCCTCTATGTACTGTGGCTACATCAAGTTACCTCTACCCTCTATGTACTGTGGCTACATCAAGTCACATTTCCCCTCTATGTACTGTGGCTACATCGAGTCACATTTCCCCTCTATTTACTGTGGCTACATCAAGTTACCTCTCCCCCCTATGTACTGTGGCTACATCGAGTGACATTTCCCCTCTATGTACTGTTGCTACATCAAGTTACCTCTCCCCTCTATGGACTGTGGCTACATCGAGTGACATTTCCCCTCTATGTACTGTTGCTACATCAAGTTACCTCTACCCTCTATGTACTGTGGCTACCTCAAGTCTCCTCTCCCCCCTATATACAGTGGCTACATCAAGTATCCTCTCCCCTTTATGTTCTGTGGCTACATCACGTAACCTTTCCCCTCTATGTACTGTGGCTACATCAAGTTACCTCTACCCTCTATGTACTGTGCCCTCTATGTACTGTGGCTACATCGAGTCACACCTCCCCTCTATGTACTGTGGCTACATTGAGTCACATCTCCCCTCTATATACTGTGGCTACATCGAGTGACATTTCCCCTCTATGTACTGTTGCTACATCAAGTTACCTCTACCCTCTATGTCCTGTGGCTACATCAAGTCACATTTCCCCTCTATGCACTGTGGCTACATCAAGTTACCAATCCCCTCTATGTACTGTGGCTACCTCAAGTTACCCCTCCCCTCTATGTACTGTGGCTACCTCAAGTCACCTCTCCCCCCTATATACAGTGGCTACATCAAGTAACCTCTCCCCTTTATGTTCTGTGGCTACATCACGTCACATTTCCCCTCTATGTACTGTGGCTACATCAAGTCACATTTCCCCTCTATGTTCTGTGGCTACATCAAGTTACCTCTCCCCTCTATGTACTGTGGCTACATCAAGTCACATTTCCCCTCTATGTACTGTGGCTACATCAAGTTACCTCTCCCCTCTATGTACTGTGGCCACATCAAGTCACATTTCCCCTCTATGTACTGTGACTACATCAGGTCACCTCTCCCCTCTATGTACTGTGGCTACCTCAAGTCACCTCTCCCCTCTATGTTCTGTGGCTACATCAAGTCACCTCTCCCCTCTATGTACTGTAGCTACCTCAAGTTACCTCTCCCCTCTATGTTCTGTGGCTACCTCAAGTCACCTCTCCCCTCTATATACTGTGGCTACCTCAAGTCACCTCTCCCCTCTATGTTCTGTGGCTACATCAAGTCACATCTCCCCGCTGTACTGTGGCTACCTCAGGTCACCTCTCCACTCAAAGAACTGTGGCTCTCTCATGTCACCTCTCCCAAATATGTACTGTGACAACTTTAGGTCACATCTTCCCTATATTTACTTTGTCTACCTACAATCTACAATGTAGTATTAAAAAGTATCTAAAAAATGAAGTTCTTGGTTTCAATTGTTAAGGTTTATCGATGTAATCTCAAGGTCTTCAGAGTGACATTGTCAATAGATACAGCGGTATGTGCCATGGCGTGCATGTTTCCATAGGACCAACTGCTATACATATAACAGCAATCCTTTATGATGAAATAAATGAATGCCAACTTACATCGGAAATTGTCACGTATGCAATTTATTAGATTTATAATACTTTCTAGTTTTCATAATAGGAATCTATGCATGTTTTAATTCATGCCAAAGTTTTAAAAACATGTCTATTCCCCTCTCCGTTACAATTAGTTTTATTCAATGTAAATTCCACCATATCGTCTAAACAAATTTCTCTCATTCAATCAAACTTGTCTTTGTCTACATCATATTGAATTAAGAAACATGACCGGTTGTGGCACAATTGCTTATCTAGTAACTGATTTACCAAACATTGTTCGTGTAAGTCGGTGTAAGGAACGACAACACTGAGTAGAGATTGTGGGAATTCATCACTTTCAATGAGCGAGTTATCGTTCGTGCACCATACATAATGCAGTTTTGAGTATTCCTTCGAAGAAGAAGGAATATAGGATATTTCAGGATATTTTTACCTGAAGTAAACTTGTTATAGATTCAGTAAACCCAATATGATGCGGAAAAGAAAAAAAAGAAAATGCATTTCACTCCAGATTACCTCTTTCTTTTACATGTATGTGCTGTGGAAACAGCAGGCTTTCTCTCCAGTCTATGTATTTTGGTTGCTGTTTCTGTACCTCTCCGCTCTACATACTGTAGCTGTCTCGGGCCACATCTCCCGTACACATACTATGGTTAACATGACCAGTACCGCGTACTATGTACCGTGACCGGTACCGCGTACTATGTACCGTGACCAGTACCGCGTACGATGTACCGTGACCAGTACCGCGGACTATGTACCGTGACCAGTACCGCGTACTATGTACCGTGGCCAGCACCGCGTACTATGTACCGTGACCAGGACCGCGTACTATGTTCCGTGACCAGTATCGCGTACTATGTACCGTGACCAGGACCGCGTACTATGTTCCGTGACCAGTATCGCGTACTATGTACCGTGACCAGTATCGCGTACTATGTCCCGTGACAAGTATCGCGTACTATGTTCCGTGACCAGTACCGCGTACTATGTACCGTGACTAGTACCGCGTACTATGTACCGTGACCAGTACAGCGTACTATGTAACGTGACCAGTACCGCGTACTATGTACCGTGACCAGAACCGCGGACTATGTACCGTGACCAGTAACGCGTACTATGTACCGTGACCAGTACCGCGCACTATGTCCCGGGACCAGCCCCGCGTACTCTGTACCGTGACCAGTACCGCGTACTATGTACGGTGACCAGTACCGCGTACGATGTACCGTGACCAGTACCGCGCACTATGTCCCGGGACCAGCCCCGCGTACTCTGTACCGTGACCAGTACCGCGTACTATGTACGGTGACCAGTACCGCGTACGATGTACCGTGACCAGTACCGCGGACTATGTACCGTGACCAGTACCGCGTACTATGTTCCGTGACCAGTACCGCGTACTATGTACCGGGACCAGTACCGCGTACTATGTACCGTGACCGGTTCCGCGTACTATGTACCGTGACCTGTACCGCGTACTATGTACCGTGACCAGCACCGCGTTCTATGTCCCGTGACCAGTATCGCGTACTATGTACCGTGACCGGTACCGCGTTCTATGTACCGTGACCGGTACCGCGTACTATGTTCCGTGACCGGTACCGCGTACTATGTACCGTGACCAGTACAGCGTACTATGTAACGTGACCAGTACCGCGTACGATGTACCGTGACCAGTACCGCGCACTATGTCCCGGGACCAGCCCCGCGTACTCTGTACCGTGACCAGTACCGCGTACTATGTCCCGTGACCAGCACCGCGTACTATGTACCGTGACCAGTACCCCGTACGATGTACCGTGACCAGTACCGCGTACGATGTACCGTGACCAGTAGGTCACCTCCTCCGTCTTGTTACTATGCCTACCTAGTGTTTTAAAGTTGCACAATGACAATACGCAGCTCTTTGTGTCAATAGTTAAGGTTTATCGATGTATCTAAAGAGTTTTAGAGGGCACATTCTCAATAGATACAACGTTATATGACATGTCGTGGATGTATCTAAAGAGTTTTAGAGGGCCCATTCTCAATAGATACAACGTTATATGACATGTCGTGGATGTATCAAATGACCAACTGCTATACATATAACAGAAATCCTCTGGGATGAAATAAGAGAATGCAAACTCACATATGAAATTGTCACGCAGCAATTTATTAGATTTAGAATACTTTCTAGTTTTCATTACAGGGGTCAATACATGTTTCCATTTAGGCCAAAGTTTAAAAACAATGTCTGTTCCCCTCTCTGTTACAATTTGTTTTATTCAATGTAAATTCCACCATATCGTCTCAACAAATTTCTCTCATTAAATCAAACTTGTCTTTGTTTACATCATATTGAAGAAATATGACTGCTTGTATCACAATTGCTTATCTAAAACAAATTAACAACCTGACAAAACTTATTTTATTATAACTTAACATAAATATTACTTTATTATCATAAGACTATCAGAGTCACGATTCAGTATATCACAAACACCATTCAGTTCTTTGCACCAGGCCCGGAACAATATCATATGTATGCGATATTTCTTAAGTATGCTTAGAAACCCATTCGTTTAAAATTTTGTCAGACCTGCAATAATGCCATCTGCATGAAAAAGTTTTCCATCGTTTCTAGGTCACGAATGGATTTCCTCACAAAATTGTACACATTTCTATAATTACAAACAGTATTCACAGACACAGTCGACATTGAATCCTCTATATCATCATGATGAAACAGCGTCACCTGGAGTAGGTTTATAGGCGTCAACATCATTCTCTTTAGGACACGAAGAGGAGGCTTGAAATTATTTGACGTATATAATGCGTAATGGAGGTCGTGTTCAATGACCTCCATGTTATGTAATATTCCGTAAAACATGCGCATTGAGTGATAAATCTCGGACAAGCCTTCAGCATTCAAACCACCCTACAAAACATAATAAAAAAAATACATTATTTCACGGGCTGTGTCATACAAATAATAAAAAGAAACAATATACACTTCCTCATCATCTGTCAATAGTTATTTTAATTCATTTAAACCTCACCAGCTGGCAATATTATTTCAAATTGTTTACACTTCAAGACCAGCTTTCAGTACAAAAAAAAAATACCCGACCAATAATATGATAAATAATATACACCTCGTGCGCTTTATTCAAACATAATAAGAAAGTACATTATGCATACCTGTTCTGGAAAATGGACCTCGGTAACAGTTGAGCTGAGGTCATCGGTAGGTGGTGGGATACGGGTGGTCTGAAATAGAAACTGACTGTTAACTAAGATAATGTAACTAAGTAATAAAATTGAAACTTATTTTTAGGTATACATGCATAAACCCAGTCTTTTTCCATATTACAACCTAACTTTATATGTTTGTTTTGAATTTTATAACACAACCAAGCCATACACAAATGGGCATATGATACGATTGTGTCTAATTGATTTTAAACAACTAAGTTATATACTTTCATTATTTAGTTATGTTCTGTATGCATAAACCATATATAAAATGACATTAAGTTACAAATATTTTGCATTTAGTATTATATATTGATATAAATATTCCATATTTGCTTTTATATCTAATATCACTAAGTTGTAGGTTTATAATCACAAAGAAGACCTCCGCTCCGAGGTTTATTTCTCGGGGTATTCTCCCCCGTCTATAACAAAATAGGGAATATGTATCGACGGAAAACGACTTTTGCCAGGCTCCTGTAAAACTTTTGCTTTGTGACCTATCACTTGGATACTCATTTTGATGATGTACTTGCACAATACCTGTATGGCAAAATTGATAAGATTTATAAAGCAGTGGTCACGATTGACCCCTGCATTTTTTTTCATTTTTTTTAGTTTTAGCTTTAAAATGTTCAAGTTTCGAACAACTTGATTTTGTGAAATGCATGGTAACTGGAGATTTTTATGGAACATTTTTTTTGAAAGAGATTTAAACTTCATGTCACAATAGTTTCTTAGGTTATAATACGGTTTAACCTGTTAGTGCCCTTAACCTGATTATAGCTCTTTATATTAAAATCTCGTTTTTGTTAATAACACAAATAATTGAATATATGATTCTCACATATAAACTAGTAAGTTATATGATATACAAAAACTGAGTTATATTTTTCAAAGAATACAACTAAGTTATATATGTGATAGAAAATATCTGGAATATAACGCTTTGTTAGCGTCATAAAAGGTACACTCTCGTAAAGTCCTGGAGATTTGTGGGATTTCCAAGAGCATGATTTTTTTCGTGTCGTAAATTTTTCGTTCCTTTTATAATAATCAATGTTGATATATTTTTATTGATGGGAACGTCTGTATTGTAAAGACGGGTAAGCAACATTTTGAATTAATAAAATAAAATCAGTAGAAATCATTTTGCTCATTCACGCAACCACACTCGTGAAATTGACTGTAAACATTCCTTTACTTATTTTATCTAAATATTTAATTGTGTATTATACTTATATAATCTTTTTATATGGATACTTCTTCATAACTTTTATATGACAATAATAAAAAATAAGACTCAATGAGTAGTTCATTTTGGTAGCTATAGGACACCATTTTTGTATCCCACCTAAGTCATTTCAAACAGTTCTCAGACTTGATCGAGTTTAATTAAATGTTGGTTTCAATACGCGATCCCTTGTTATTACATACAAAAGATGTTTCATACATATTACAATACATTAAACGGATATAAAATCATTAAGAGGTCTGATTAATTATTTACGTCTTTCATGTATCTACCTATCCACCTTCACTCATATTTGCCATGCTATTATCTGATCAGTTCGTGTTGACTCGGATCGTATATGCTTCAGGTATATTTGTTTTTAAACTAATAGCAAGTGTTATTATAAATACGTTGAATAATTCAACTGACTTTTCTACAAATTGAACAATATTAACTATCACTTTTGTTTTAAGGTTAAAAAAGCGTCATTGGTTATTTTTATAAATTTATTTTAAAAAAAACCTGAGATTCCATTCAACAATTGAAAAATTTGATTTTCTTTGATAATTAAAACGTGAATTAAAACTTAGTTGTTTATATAGGGATTGAACGGCGTTTATTTCAATTGTCATACCGGCATGAACTTAAATCGGTTACATCCATATTTCATTAAGCATGGCAGGTCAAAATATGAACAAAAGAAAGATATACATGAAGACCTTTGAAAAACCCAGTTCAACTTTAATACATCCAGGTGTTCCGTAAGGGTAAGCGTCTTTTGCTTCATCGATGACTCCCGCCATGTAAATCTAGGTCAAATTTAAGTAATACCAGGTCCTCATATCGAGAACAAAACAAGGCACACGAATGAGCGTTATCAACAAGTAATACCAGGTCCTCACATCGAGAACAAAACAAGGCACATTAATTAGCGTTATCAACAAGTAATACCAGGTCCTAACATCGAGAACAAAACAAGGCACACTAATGAACGTTATCAACAAGTTATACCAGGTCCTAACATCGAGAACAAAACAAGGCACACTAATGAACATTATCAACAAGTAATACCAGGTCCTCACATCGAGAACAAAACAGACTCATTAATGAACGTTATCAACAAGTAATACCAGGTCCTAACATCGAGAACAAAACAAGGCACACGAATGAGCGTTATCAACAAGAAAAGGCAGTGAAGCTGCAGGACATCAAATCTTACTTTTTTAAACCAACTTGCAGAGAGTCAAACAACCGCAAGGGAACGGATCCTGCATACTTGAATTTGTTCTTCGAATATGTTTGTAAATGGTATCAGTTTTGTTGTTCAGAATTGTCCCCAATCACGCAAATGTACATTTTAGCTGCCCGTTTAAATCTCAAAAAAAGAAATCTCGAGAGAAAGCGCGCGCGCGCAAGAGAGAGAGAGAGAGAGAGAGAGAGAGAGAGAGAGAGAGAGGCCAGGAGAAATCTACATGATTTACATAAAAGCATTAATGCCTGCCTCGATTTTTATAAATATTTCTTACGATAATGTACTTTTAGATAAAATATTAACCGTTTTCTGGGCTTTTGGGCTGCGAGTGAAATATATATATCGTATTCGACGGGAACACTTTGGTGGCATATTCCTGTCATCGACTTTCGACTTGCGAGTTATGTCGACATACGTAACTTGTAAGTCGTAAGTCGATGGCAGAAGTAGGTCACCACAGAAAACAATTACATGTTGTATTTCTTTACGTCACGTGAGATTAAAGAAAGTGGCTGAAGTAAGAGTTTGTAGTGTTCCTGATGTCAGGCTCAGGAGGGGTGTGCGATCGGTATGGTCAATACATTTGTTGTTTTTCAAAAGACAACACATCGTCGATTTATCTGAATGTGAAACTAAAGGACTGGGATAGGTTTGGGTTAAAATAACTATAAAGATAGCTTTATTGTCTTACGCGTTCAAATCTGGGAAAAACAGAATTCCATTTTTTCACGCAAAAACTGAACTTCCCAGCTTAAATTAAGAGATTTCGTAAAGCTTAGGTTTAGATTGTTTTCGGTTTTTTTCAGCTTAAACACTACTTTTCCTGTGAGGACCTTTATGTTAAAGAATAAACCGAAGTTAGAATTACATCGTTAGCGTCATCGAGGGGGCGGCGGAAGCTGTAACACTAGGTATGTGATTCACGACTTACGTATCTCCGCACCATGTGTGTGATCCGAGGGTACAGGACACGCCCCACTGACGATAGATACTCCGCTGTGATCCTGGGAAGTCGCGGTCTGTTGACGCGCCCTAACTCCGGTAATGTGTAATTGACAGTGCATCCACTGACCACTGTTCTGTATCCAGCCAGTATAATGCCGAACACAGCAAAATACAGACTCTTATCTGAAATAATAAATAAGATTAGTGTATTTTATCTTTATTTCTGATACTGGGGTGCGTTTATCTTGAAACGTATGGCACACATTTTCCATTATATATTATCAATGATAGAATAATAATAGTAATATACAACATGTAAAAAGCACCCTATATAATTTGTAAAATTCCTCTAAAGCACTTTACAACATATGGATAATAGTATTAGTTATAATTGATGAACAAAAAAGGCTTACAATCATCTTTATACAAATAAAGAAGATTATCATCTCAATGTGCAGAACAGTATCAATATATAAAGTGGAATGCCATGTGATATCACATAAAGCATATTTCTTTATTAGATATAAATGATCGAATGGTCGCTACAGGTGAAAAAATACAGAAATGGACGTGATCTCTTAAATATGAGATAGAAGGTAGATGTTTGGATGGCGACAGATAAGTATACGATTATTTAACTTGATTTCTTGCGGAAAGGATGTTATAATACGTCGTTATTTAATATTTGTAATTTTAAAGGTAAATGAAATAATGGAATGGAGGAATTAATGTCAATATTAACATATTTACTGTTAAATAAATTCGGATATATCAAAAACTATAACATATTGTTGTATGGACCAAATATCAAAATAGTGTTCGCTTAATACGTCAGAGCCAGGCCTTGGCATATTTGATGTAAGTTATACAAGATATCTTAAATTAGATAACTTATAAGGTGATATAAAGAAACTGAAATTCGTTTCCGTTTTAGAAAAAAACTTGGATTATTTAAATTGTTTGGTAGCGTAGTTAACGTCTTAAACTTAATTTAGGGATTTTAATTTATTTTCAAATTTACACTATATAATTGATAAAGAGTTATCTACTTCAAACAAAATACGTTAAGTTATTCAATTTATGTTAAAAAAATCTTTCATATTTGAAGACATGTATGTTAAAAAAACAAAAACTAATTAACTTATTGGGTTATTTAACGTAGTTCAATTAAAAAACGGTTAGCTTTATAACTAATTAATGATAAACCATTAGTTTTTGAACCTATGTTATACAATCCACCTTTAGTTATTTAATCTATGTCCTACTATACTAGTACAACAAATAGTAAGTTATCTTACTAAGTTGAATACTTAAGTACTGATTAGTTAGCCGATGTCATATAATAGATATTAGTTAATAAAAAAAGTAATTTAATTGAAGTTATAATTAACCTATGGTGGTCTAATTTACGTTATTAAAGAAATACTATTTGGTTTAATTAGTTAGATAACACATCGCGTTATATAATTTAGTTAACACTAAACCCTTGATCATTCAGTTTATGTTTAGCAGTAACACACACACAACTGTACATAAATCGTGAAGGAATACTTTCGTGCTGAAACAATAAAACTTGATATATAGAAATTATTTTCGTTAAGCGGATTTTTTCGAATATACGGTTTTGTTTTTATATATTTACTTTTTCTACAGAAAGAAACGACGAAAGAAGCGATATATCATTTATCATTATGAGTTCAATATTTCAGTATTAATTAATATATCAACATGCTTATCTAATATACTAATATTTGTTACGTGTATCATACTCACGTGCATGCTTCATAACGAGAATGGTGATAAGTTGACTTGTATGTTGAATTTATACTATTTGAAAAGGAAACAGAGGTGAGCAATTTAAGGAAAATCATATCAAATCCTGAAGTTGGAAATTCAAAATAATGTGTCAGGTTTTCCAAAATCAAAAGTGATTCTAATACATACGGTACATTAATCGTACTTTTTTCCAAATAGTTAACGTATCTTGTTATCAATATTTGTAATACCAAGAATTCAGAAAATGGATAGAATAACCCGGTATTGTTACCAGGATACAAAAGCCGGAGGTATTTGTTATACGTGTAGATAAGGTGGGGTCTATTCTACTATACTATGTGGATAACCCACAGTTATAAAATCCAATCTAGATGAGAACAGAGAAACCTAACATATTTGGTTCAATTTATTTCTTTTCCGACATTTTGATTTTGGTACAATTAAATTATTTTGTGAACGATTGATTTTTCTACAATTTATACATTTCACGAGCTACTGGTATTGGAACAACTGAATTATTTTATGCAATTAAGTTACTATTACGTGTTATTGATATTGATTTAACCAAATTTGTGAGCTACTGATTTTGGTATAATTTAATGTTTTTGTGAGTTTTTTCGGTACATATGGATTTGAACACAATAAATTATTTCATCATCTATTTAGTTGATGCAAATTGTGATTTTAACGAGATATTGATATTGAAACATTTCATCATCTCATGAATAACGGATCTTGGTTCTTGGTATAATTAATCGTTTTACGAGCTTTTTATTTTGATACAATTTTATTCAGTTTACGAGCTATTGATTTTGGTACCTTCAAGTCATCTTAGTATTTACGAGCTATTGATTTTGGTACCTTCAAGTCATCTTAGTCTTTTATGAGCTATTGATTTTGATTCAATTTAATAATTTTGTGTTAATTGTACAATTAAATGAATTTGTGAGCTATCGATTTAGGTAGAATTTAGACATTACATGAACTTTTGATTTTGGCACAATTGAAAACTTGTGAGCCACTGATTTTGGTCCAATTTATGATATAAAGGACATATTGTGTCGATTATCATTTATTCTTCTTTCATGATTCACCTGTATGAGAATCTACCAAGTCCGACTAAGGACCATCTAACAACACTACCGCATTCTTCTTCATTAGAAAGGTACATCGCTATATCATCTTGATGCTAGTATCCTGGTGACCCCTTTTAATAGTGACCTTGTGTCTATGTCTACCCAACCTGCATTTGACCTCGAACGCATAACTCCACCGAATCCTATGTTGTTTCGGTTCAGTGCGTTGCCCATGAAGGTTTGCCCATGAAGGTTTGTCCATGAAGGTTTAAGAACTGGCCGTGTTAACACACGGTTGAGAAAGCATGCATGCAGCTTGACAAATTTGTTTGGTTTAATAAAATAATTAATGTGTGCATGCTACTTGTAAATGCAATCACGTGACAAGTGGCTTTTACTATTACGCTGCTAAAGGTTCAAACTAACAATAATTGAGGTTTTTATTCTCGTGTGTCTCCCCCGCACGATATCGGATAACAGACCTGCTGTATCATATACAGGCTATGTTAAAAATTTCAGCTATGGAGAAATTCTAACCACATGCTGGAATAGAAACACGTACTTCACGAGCTGTTGCCTAACTCAAATTTCTTTCATATAAAACGTTTTTACGTTACGCAGAACAATGAGGTTTTGAAAATTTTAGTAAGTTTACAATTAAAAAAAAAAGAAATATTAGGGTCCTGTTATTACCTTATTATATATGTATTTCTATTTTATCTGCGGCGGTCCTGTAAATAGCGTCAGTAAGGGAATATCTACCTACGGTCGGAGCTAAGTCAGTCACCCATCGACACTTTACATCGATCAAAGTTTACACAATATGTTCAAAACTTTACCAACAATTTAGACAACAACATCCACATTTTAGGCTCTTTGCACAGACGTCATGTACATACCACCCTTTATTTATTCATTTATGTGCACATTGAGATGATTATCTTGCTTAATGTATAATGGTGATTGTAAGCCTTTTCGTTTAACAATTATAACTAATACTATTATCAATATGTTGTAAAGCTCTTTAATTTTGCATATGCTATAGGGCGCTATATAAATGTTGCATATTATTATTATTATCCATTCGCTTTGGTCAAAACACTTAAGATGACTTTTTGTTCATTTTAAATAGCAGTTGGCTACCAGCCAACCGATGGGCTATATTGCAATATACACATTAACATTTAATACAACTATATGTTGAAAGTTTCTGTCTATGGGTTGATTTCCTCGATAACGTTGCAACTTTTGATGCAGGCACCATCACTATTAAGTATTTTTTTTATAAATCTATTTTCTTTGTTCGGATGAATTGCTCATATTAAACCACACTGTCGTGATAACTTTCGACCATGTCTATGTATTTTGAAAACAAATGCCGTTTAAAAATACAAAAATGAAACTGATAATGAATCACTCTTTATTTTCTCCATTAAAAATGGCAATATGATTACTTACAGATTAGGTAAAAACACTGTAGATCTAGAATTGATACTTAATTATCTAAGATTATTTCGGAAAATGTAAGTGTGAGGTATAGCAGACAATGGGTTACACTTGTTACAGTATATCTCGTGTCACCTTGAATGTTTTATAAGGGGAAGTTATCATTTGTTGTTTCTCTCGTACATCCACCCACTCAGACATGAATCATTTCGTTTATATGATAAAACACTTTCCACATGAATTGACCCAACAATGACAGAAGGAAAATCACAGTGGAAGTGGCTGGTATTAGCTGATGCTCGTGTTTTTTATTTGATGTCCCGTTCTTTTGTGACCTCCCTGACTCGACCAACCTTATGTTAATTTCCTGTGCAAGGGAGTTGATAGCTCCCGTTTGTCCAGGATAGTTTAGAGAAAACTTTTCCCAGAAGAACAAAAGCATCAAAGTGTATTACTTCATTACTGCGTTGAGGTTTATGCAACAGGTGCATAATCAGTCATACCTACCGGAACCAGTTTTTGTCACTCAAAATATTTCTCCTCGATAAAACGTATCTATGTACGACATAATTAGAGGGCAAGACACAATTTTCTAGTTATCAATACACTTCTAGTCAATTTATACATTATTTGATTCACCAGTGATAGTTTATGGTGATTAATATTCTTTGGTAAATAAGTGATTGAATAAATGTTTCCTGAAAAGCAAGTGAATTGGCTTCCTCCGCATCATACCATATGTAAATGCCTTAAAATGTTTTTGAAATATTTTGGTTAAAAGTAATATTAAACATTTGACCTCTATGACCTTGATCGTTGTTCAAGGTCAACATTTTTTAAAACCTGATAGCTGAGCATCTAAGCATCTTACATATCAAATGTCAAAACTACACCTTGAATAATTTGAGAACAAGCTTTTCAAAGTTTGTTAACCAAAAACATGTATTTTAACTTTGACCCCTACGGAAAACCAAAAGATGACCTTTGACACAAAAATCTTTCGCAACAAAAAGTTTTACATTATTGTTCTACATTACACATTAAAAGATGAACGGGATGGCTATATTCGTTTATGAGTTATTGTAATTAAATAAAACGGATATCACGTTATTGTGGTCGTCTTGGATTTGGGATCAAAACAAAAGTTATCAAAAATTTGGTAGGCGGTACGGGCAAACATAGATACCTAAAATGAATGAAATCTGCGAAGCAGAACATCAAAATAAAACGGTTGCGACATATTGTCTCGTCAAAAGGACCAAAGGAAAATTTCAAAATAAGATAGGGTGTTAATTTGAAATGTTATTGAAAAACTGAAGACAGAAAATGCATTAGGATTCCCCATCGACTACAAACAGAATTTTTCATATAGTTTAAAAATGAATAAGTTAAAAAACCCAATTGATGACCTTTGACCATACAGCGAGGATTTCTACTTGACCTATTTTTGTATAAACATGTATAAAAAAAATAAGCCACGGAGAAAAATTACAAATAATATAATTGCAGGACTGCTCAACAACTAAGAGTTTTTAGGTTATGGCCATTTTTGAAATTTGACCTATGACGTCATGGCGGCCATATTGGATTTTTGACCTACTTGAAAATGTTGCAATGACAGCTTTCGACCTTGGCCAACAATATATTTTAAGTCTTTAAACATGTCTGCTACCTATCAAAAGATTATGTGGCCACAAAATCATGACAGAAGAATAAAAATAAGAAACATAACAAAAACAATAGTTATTTTCACCATAAGTGAAAAGCCCTACTTATGATAACAAAAGTGACATTTTATTGTTCTTTTATAGGACCAAATTACTCTTAATCATGTACATTGTGGACTTCATTCCACGGCCCGCATTGTATATTTAAATGTCAGTTTACTATCGCATTGTATGCCGTTTTCTCTTGATATTTTTACAAATCACTATTTTTACAAATCACTATTTTTACAAAGTAAGTGTACTGTATTTGTAAATACGATTTACTCGACAGAGCGTTACTCGCTCGACAGCGAACATCGTAACGACCTCGAGCTTGTGAAGTGGTGTCAGCACTTGATATGCACATGTGAGATCGGTACACAAAACACATCCTTCCGCATCCATGCGCTTCATTTATATTACCTTTCTGAAGTCGCCTGGTTCCATGTCAGTGTACGTGAGTCAGCTTATGTTTTTTAATCGGAAACTTTATTTCTGAAGTACGTATGAAGTTACAAATTTCCCAGTTAAGTCTCGATTTGGGTTTTGACATATCTACCCGTTGTTACTATAATTAACACGACGATATTGAAATGCCCCATTCGCAATACGGAAATGACGACACGAAAATACGACAAGAAAAGCATGTGTATTGCGAAGGATGGGAATTCCTACAGCCATTGGTTATGTCGAAATATTTTCCGAATGTTTGACTGAAAGTGTGTTCAACAAATGTAGACCTATAGCTCAGAATGCCGTTTGAACGATTGAACGAACAATTTTATTCTAAATTG